GGGGGGGGGGGGGGGGAAGAGGAGGAGAGCTCGGGAACGGGATCGGGCTTCAGCTGGAGCCCTTCGCGTCTTCGCGCATCGGTACCGTCGTGAATGCCTTGGAAGCGGGTAACATGGGTATGCCGCAACTAAATTTACTGCACTGATCGCTGTGCCCGGCTACATACGTGAAATCCAGCGCAAAGCCAATAATAGAACCGTGAAAGAGCGTCTCGTTCGGTATCCTCGGCACGATTTTCGGAAGCAGAGGCTCGCGCGTTTCCCGCGCGAAACGTCTGGAGTCTCTCGAATTGACGGCGAATGAGGGAGATCGACTGTCCAATCAATTCCACTATCGCGTGTGACTTTGAATGAACGTAAAAACCGCTAATTGTTAAATATTTTGTTTCGTATCTCCTCTTTAATCAATCACTTGGTCCGCGCAGAAGTCTGGCCGTGCCAGTCGGATTCAGTGTCAGTATCTGGCTGACACAAGCGGATTTATGCGCGGACCAACCGTATCGTTTTTCTCCGTGTTCAAGAGTCTGCAGAAGATAACGAGCGTACACGCGGTTCATCGCCGACGATGTTCCGAAAACCGGTCAACTCGTGTCATTCGTGATATTCACAAAACAAGCGCAAAGAGTCGAGTAAACGGTAAGAGAACCGAGTGGAGCCGCGGCTCGGGTCGGAACTTAGCGCACTCACCGGTCGAATCGAAGTCGCCGTCCAATGGCCTCAGCGGTCTGGTGATGCTTTTCCTCTTCGACGGGGAATGTTTCAAGGCTGCAACACAAAACGTACGGCGCTACAATAATCCGCGCGCACTCGTGCACGAAAGAAAAGAACACCGATGTTATTCTCAAGGACCGATTTGGAAATTAATTATGTCAAGTACGCCTGTACAAAGGGGGGAGGGGAGATATTCAAACGTGTGTGTTACGCTACAGAAGCTGACATCAGTACCGTAGCAAGGATCGGAAGGACGCGCGTCACCTTCAAACTCAAACAAGACAAGAGGGCCACCAACGGGCGTAATTGTTAGTATCAAAGAATAACGCGAGTCGCTCTACCGGTGATCGTTCAGTCTTATCGTGGAAATTGCTCCTTTCTCTCTCTCTTTCTCTTTCGCGCGCGAACAATTCCCGCGTTATGTCCTCGCCGGTCCAAAATTCGCGCTCGGGCGAGCGCGGCTTTACGTCGGAGCCAATTCCAAGATCAATCAAGAAAATGAATTGCGCAGCCCCCCAATCACAATTTTACCTCCAAACCATACGATTTTCCAGATACTTTCTCCGAACAATGAGTCTCGCTACAGCACTGTCTGCCACGACTAATTTTTTATTGGGTTGTGTAATGAGCAATTGCGGATTTTTCAGGTAAAATGGAACGATTATATTTTTTACGAAACATGCCACTTTGATGTACGATTTTCTGTCATCTTTTGCGTACATTGTTTCGTAAAATTACAACGACATAAGAATCATTGTTTCGTTTTACTTGCGAGAAAACCGAAATTTCTTTTACTACACTGAGAGAAGAATGCTTTAAATACTTGAACATTTATTTATGTATATAAAGTTTACTTCGCGGAAATAAACTTTAATCCACAGAAATAAACTTCGTGTTTCTTCGTGAGAAATTTTCAAGTGTACTTTTTCTCACAACAACGTACACAACCCAATATGTCTAAACGCTTTTCTTTTCTCGGCTCTACGATTTTGCTAGTCTACTGTTGGCGACACGCCCAAACACTATCGCGCGAGTATCTTTGCATACGTTAATTAGATTGTAATTAGATACTGATCGCAGATACGTAAGAGTGTCTAATATACATTATGCGTATGGATAAATACAGACTAGTCAGGTCGACAACATTCACGGCTCTCGCTTGCTGTCCAGCGGGAGCTCTATCTTTCTTTCCTCTATTTTTCCTTTTCTCTCCTTTACGATCAACGATATCGTCACTCGTGTACTACTGTCTTATATAGTCCATGCCTAAGTAATTAGTATCACATAAAGGAAGTACATACGTACATGAGAAATGTGCTGGCTTCTGTAGAAATATATTTTATGCATGTATATATGTAGATAATATATAAAAATAAATATGTCTCTTGTAAAAATCGTACAAACGTTCAGTCTGTGATCGATTAGCTTATCGGTCCGTGCCGTGATTGCAGGGTATGTCTAGGCTAAACTAATTGCTGTATATCGGATGTGACGTGAGTAGGGTGGGAGGAGGGAAGAGAGACTTTTCGAGGGGTTGCGCGTGAGTTTGTATAGACAAGTTTGGTGAACAAATTATGCCGGTGTTTTTTTTCGAGAGGGGTAGAAGGGCAAACGCGTGTTTTCGGCATCGAGCTTCCTCTCGTCGGTTCGACCAGCGAGACGTTAACGCGAGAAGATATAGTGTGTAATGAAAAAAGTTTCATCGTCGTGTTCTTGGATATCAGGGGAGATGAAGTTGAAAAAGTCTCGTGAAAAAGAGAGAGAAAGAGATTCTCGGGTTCGTTACGAGATCTGTGTCTGTGAGCGAGAACGTGTGTGGCGAGGAACGGATAAGTGTGAAGAGTGATGAAGAAAAGAAAGAAAGAAAAAGAAAACAAGATATTACACGCATCAGGCTCACAACACTCACAGGCAATGGTTGCAGAAGCGACAGAAATAGAAAGAGAGAAAGAGAGAGAGAGAGAGAGAGAGAGAAAAAGAGGAGAAGGAAGAAGAAGAGAAGCGCACTCGCGACGAAGATATTCGAAGGATTCTCGTTCGTGCAACTCTGTCGCTTGAATTCGCGTTTGCGACGCGTCGCAAAGGCGATTCTCGAGAGATCTCTTTGATATAAATGCTCGGCAAATTTTGTCCAAAATTCATACACATACATACGCGTTAGTGAGTAAATGCGAGAAATGATTCTCGAAACTTTGTCTTTTCCAAGTACAATATAATGAAGAGTATCAAACGAGCGAAAAAATTCTATGCAAATATTGAGACACTGTACTGTGAGATATTCAGCAGCTTGTCCTCGCGAGTGCCGCATGCAAAGGAATTCAGCATCTATCGTGAATTCGCTCGCGCAAACAATTCTCCGTGATCACTCGAATCTCTTTTTCACCGGGAGAGATCTTTGGCGCGACCGTTCCACGTTCGCTGATTGTGCAAAATTTGCGTCTTGGTGACGGTCGAGAGAGGCGAGACCGATCCACGCAATGAGCAGAATCGAGAAACAGAGCGTGAGAAACGTATCATTCCTAAGAAGATATATGCGTACACAACAGGCAGACAGGATCGTTATGAACAAAAAAGATAGAAAGAGACAGAACAAACGTAAATACATTCGCACAGAAATGGACAGATGGACGCACACATAGACAGAGTTACCTATGTAGCTGGTGACGAGGTTACGGAATTTGCGGTGATTCCCCTTAATCTCAGGCAGGTCCACTTTTGGTATTCGATTTTCGAGTTTCGATCGGTAGTAGTAGTAGTGGTAGTAGTAGTAGTAGTAGTAGTAGTAGTAGTAGTAGTAGTAGTAGCAGGTCAGATGAGGTCATTGGGAGTCGACACGGAAAGAAGTGCACGGGACACAGAAACATCAACATTTAGCTAACTCCGTATATAATATGATTTACGTATACCGCGCGCGGATTATAACGATGATCATGTACGACAAAAATCATAGGGACTGCCGAGAATAGATAGACACATTAAAGAGAAAGCCAAGGGTACATCTAGTTCTCCAAAACGTGTCAAAGTTGAAACACAAAGCGACTCTATAGCGACCTCGATTCCCCTCCTGTACTCGGACAGGGAATGTCTGTCAGTGTATCGTCGTGGACACCGTCGCGAATCTACCGTCTATCTTCCGTCGAAATGAAGATCTCGTTACTACAAGATCGAAGATTCGCGCGGCTCGTGCGTCGCGAGCCGTCGCGACCAAGTCGTAGTGTCCAATCAAAGTAAACCAAGGTAACTACAGCGATTATTGGAACTATTACGCGACCTTTCTCCGGGCACTTTCTCGATCAGCTGTCAGTCTGCATAATCTATTCATTAAGATTACATCGCCAAGTATAGGTGACAGGTGATTTCAACAAAACGCAAACGTACGTAACACAAACAACAAACACATCGCATGATACAATGTTAAGACAATACACAAAGTGTAAACGCGAAGATGGTGCGAGAAACTTAATCATTATGAATAAAGATGTTATGAATAAAGATGTGGGGCTATGTGAGTTTGTAGTCAGAAGAAGAACGATGTCGAGATATAATGTATGACGGTATACGTGACAGTAGTAGTAATAGTAGTAATAGTGATGACTGACGGTAGTTGTAGTAATAACAGATGATAATGGCAAATAATAGTGGTATTAATTGTCGTAACAGTAGTAGTAGTAGCAGCAGTGGCGATAGTAGTATTAGTATAGTAGTATTCGTAGTGATGGTGATAGTGGTAGTAGTACAGTAACAGTGGGTTACAAGTAAGTGTACTTGGGTGGGCTTATAAATGAAATGAAGTTGTAAACAGCGAAAATGTTTATTGCAAAATATATAAATATGTACAATGGTGCCCACGTTCAGTCGATAGCTGAATATTTTCACAATAAAAAAAGATCTACTTTTCTACCGGTAAATTCTCGCTCTCGCACACTCTCGCACTCTTTCTCAAATTAATCGTACACCCACGCGCGGTCCTACTCGCTACTCTTGCCAAAAAAATATATATATGTATGTATATATATATGTGTGTGTATATATATGTATATATCCAACAATATTTACATCGCAAAGGTTTCTCTCTATACAGGTATGTAGCTCGCACGAAATCGATTGCAATGCCTCTATAGAGAGTCTCTATAGAGATAACTGTTTTGGCACTCGGTCTGTTTTCTGTATAGGCAGTTTTGTCAATCAAGCTATTTCTATGTGTGCGTGTACATATATGTGTGTGCGCGCGCGCGCGCGCGTGTGTGTGTGTGTGTGTGTGTGTGTGTGCGCGTGTGAACTTGTGTACGTGTGCTTTATACGGATGTACATTTCGTGCGTTCTACTGTACCTTTTCTACCAGTATATGCTCTAATGGATGAAAAGATCAATGATTGCTTTGGCGCATTGGTAAAATAGAAACTTTTATCTTTGAAAGTCTTTTGCTCCCTACGGTAAAAAGCGAGGGACTCTCGTGGAACTTTGCTATGCATGATATTATCGATCAAAATTTCAATCCATAAAAACTAGATCGTGACGCGTCTCGTGTAGTAACAAGTGCACACATATCATTAATCTACGCTATAAACTAGATCGAGTAAGAAAGTTAATGGCAGGCAAAGGATTTTTAATTGCATCATCGTTCGTTGCAATATCCACAGAGATATCGCTATCGAGACGGTGCACGTCTAAATCCGAAATATGGCTCGAAGTCTAACATCATGACTTCGCTAAAATGTCGATGACAGTTCCGACAGTGTAACATTATCGTTTATATAGAAAAAATACTCAGCTATACCTGTGGACACCAGTGATCGATCATTTCTTTAAATCTTTTCCCGTATACTGAAAGTATCGAAATCAAAACTGTGCGGAGGAAAACATGAAATGCATAATGAGGCTGGATTTGCGAAACCAAATCTCGTTAAGGAAGAAAAAAAAAGAAAATAAAGCCAAATCAAAAGAAATGAAGAAATTACGTATAATAAAATACGTGTATTGTGTTAGCAATTAGTTACACCGAAACAAAACCCAAAAATGATCAGCTGACACTCATAAACCCAAGATGTCTCTTATTCATAACACTGATCCTAAAACGAATGCAGATATCCAAAAAATTCTGCGTCGGATCGAATTGAGTATTGCTGATTGGAGCGTTTCCTTACTTTTTCTATTGTTTTGATTGCAGTCGAGTAGAGAGCGGTCACGTTTTGATTTGCGATGTTACTTCGTTAAACTATACAAGGCACTGACAGAGCAATAATGTTGTTTTTTCTTCTTTTTCATCAAATATAACCATAAGAGATATTTTCTTTTTCGGATATCCGCATGAAATACTCGTCGCATTCTCTGCAGTCACTCAAATATCTTAAAACGTTACTCGTAATCGTTAGAATATTTTTCTGGACGGCTAAAAATCTCTGTCTGTGATAAAATTTGCGAAGGACAAAATTCGAGTCGTTCGTCTCTGCGCTTTCAACATTTTTCAAGACGTGATGTGTAAACTAGATGAGGAATTCATTCAGATTTGGAATCGCATCGATTCACCAATAATACGTATTACTGTTATTATTAGATACTTTTGGAAGCTAACGTTTCGTTAGGCTCTCATCGGTACCGATTCGTTAACGAATATATAATTCGTCACTCATCAGCTAAAGGAACATATGTATATATGTATGTACAAGTGAAATCGAATGGACGAGTTACACGTTTCGTAGTGAACCGTATAACGAGAAGGCTGAAAAATATATATGTATATCTCTAGCTTACGGACTTACTGCTCTATGATGATTGGAATATGACCCTTAAATAACAATATATATAAGTACCTTACTAATTACACGATAGTGATAATAATATGACAATAGAGATATTCTAAGTACCAGTTTGAGCTTCATCACTTAAAACAAACTAATTTTACTCTATTCCCATTTCCTTCTTGCATTGAGTCTTTGAAATATGTCTCAAAAGCGTCAATAAAAGTTATATGTATATATAAGTCGATAGCATTGCATATGGTTGAATCACAATACCGATAGCTTTCTCAATAACAGAAGACGGGCAGGTGGCGACTCGTAATTTTCACTATCCCATAATTAAAATATTTCTAATGACTAGTTAACCTGCTTGGAGTTTATATTTTTTTTTCGTCTTATACTTTTACAAGGAAGCCGATTATCCCTTTTCATTCTTTTTCTTTCTTTTTATATCATTGGCGAGTTGACGTGATCAACCAGAAGACAATGGCTACCGGTAAGGTGAGTGAGCGTAAATTCACTCACGAATTAGTGAGCTTTGCTGAGCGTTAACCTTGTGGTCAAAGCTGCTAGGACAGGTTGATTCGGATGGTACTTACGTGACGGTATTTTCTTGAATACTGTCTTGGCCATGAAGTCTTGAAAGCGTTGCGCGTAAAATCCTGGCCGATGAACCGATACAGTATCCTGAGAAAGTAAAAGACATTTTTTCTACATCACTTGCGACACGTAGACATCAACAAAAGTTGAGAGAAAGAGAGATGGAGAAAAGAGAGAAAAAGAAGAAGAAATTGAATTCAAGAAAAAGAGATCTAATATACATATATATATGTTACTCACTCCGTCATGTATCATTGATTTCCACGTATGTTCGAGTTTTTTCTTCAGCCTGTAGCTTTGTAGAATGTCGATAATGCCAAGGAATAATAAGAGACGTTCACCACGCGCGTTCCTGGCAGGAATGCCGCCTGAACTGTTAGGGCAGAGAGAAAGAAAAAGAGAGAAAGAGAGTGAGAAACGCAAATGTGATATTTATTCGAGTCGAGCGATATATCTCTCGACGCGGGTAGGCCGTATAAATATGATACTTACGGTACATCATCCTCTTCGTCTATCGGCTCGCTTTCAGCCTGAATACTCTCCATCGCGGTACTATGAGCAACCAACCTTTGACGGTTTATACTGCGTGATCGATTCAAAGCGGCGGCGGCGCCTATTTTGTCTTCCCTTTCTTTTTCCCTCTCAACGTGAATGAATCCGCCGCTTTCGCCACCCATTTCCCCTTCTTCGTCGGCGCTCGCCGATAATCTTTGTTCTTGCTACAATATAGTGCGTGAAAGATGCGTCATTATCGATGTTCATCGTGATGCTGAGAGGAAGGGAGGCACGCATTGCACGATTACTTACAGCTTTTTCCTTCGCGGCATAATCAAGATTATGGATCCCGACGAGCAACGAGTAATCCATGATTTTGAAGCTCTCCAGCACGCGACAATCGCGTTGTATAGTTTTCACCAGCGCGCCATACGTATCGGCCTCTAGAAAGATTCCCTCCGGGTGATGCTCGATGAAATCCAGGTCCTTATACGTCGGAGAAGACTTCGAGCGCTCTAATTTCGATGCCTGGAATTTTCAATTTAATCTCGTGATATCTCGCGACACATGTTGCGCGCATCGAAAAATGAGTGGTGGACGATAGAGCTCGAGAATATACGTGTGTAACATTACGAACCTTCCTCTTGTACGTCGATCCCTTCAGATCATACTTCTGATGCAATTTTACGGACGAGGGTAAAAGATTATTCATAGCCACTAACCTAACATTCTTACTATTACACCGATAGCAATACAATCCAAAAAACTTTGGCAACAATGTTCTTGGATTCTGATTCAGATTCTGCGGGAGAGAACAAAATCGGCATTACTGAATTATCTGTACAAACTAATATCGCGTGTTCTAATCGGACTCTCGGGAAATACGTACCATGTAATATCCTGGAAGTAGAGTTTGTAGAAACTCGCCTTCTTTGTGTTGTACAGTCTTTATGATAAATTCATCATCTTCCGTTAGATAAAAGATACTTCCACTAGCGCCAGGATTCGACAACTCGCGCAGCGGCGCGCTACACATCGACATCTATGGTGAGAAAAATTCTGCCATTAGCACACAAAATTTCGACAGTAAGCATGCAGTATTTACATCTGAAAAAGACTTCTGAACAACGTTCTTTCTTCAGCTCTCTCTCTTTCTCTCACCAAAAAGTCGTCCGGTTGAATGCCAAAGAGATCCCTAAAGTAACGAAATGCAATGGGCGCGTAGTTCTTAAATTTAAACTCCGAGAAGTGATGGGCCGGAGTGTGATTCGATCCCTCGCTGGGAAAATTCGTTGTCTCCACCGTCATGAAGTCCTGCATCAACAAGTCACGCTCAGGTTTGCTCGCGAGACCGCCGACCGCGTGCTGTATGCCCAGCTGGATCGATCCCATGATTTGTGTGGTTTGGATCTGCGTACGATATAAAAGAACGCATATTTAATTCATTCGAAGCGTCTCGTCCATGTGATGAAGTTACTAAGGTAAAAGTACCGACGTCTGCATACTAATAACACTGCTACCTAACTCTAAACATTATTATTTTGGTCTTTAAATGCGAATACTTTGCGACTTTCAATATAGAGAATACATAGACATATGTTCTACGTTAAAAGCTTAAATATTCCTTTTTATAAGAAACAAAACGATGTCCAGAATTAAGTATTAAGCGTTATTAGTGTGACCAGGTGTTGATACTTTTACTTCGTTCAAATTTGACTCAATAGCTTGCAACTTCATTCGCGCAGCGACAGATCCTAAGCGCAGGATCTGAGATCGCGTCCGTTGGAATCATTTGACGTACCTTCTTATACGTGATTTCACCTCCCACACCCACTCTCCGATGGCCGATCTTTCTCTCTCGTTCCGACTTGTTTCTCGATACCCCCACGGGGGCCTTGCCACCTGTGGTGCCATGTTGCACCACTAAACTCTGCAAAAACAATCGACAATGTATCACGCACAACGTGCGTTCGCTTCATTTGTGTTTAAAAAAATTGAGTTCGCATTAAAAGAAAAGAAAAAAAAAGAACTGTCGCCTTCAAAGAATCGCATCGCAGAGTTGCGTCGCGAATTGTTATTACCAGCTACAATTCGACGTTATACGTGTTTCAATCAGCTCCGACCAGCTCACTCTCGCGTTACGCAAGACCGTGTATCGCGCGTATCGCCAAATGTATTGTTCGTTGATATTTAACGTATAAATGCACAAAGAAAAAGTTGTCCTCTCCCTCCCCCCCCGCCCCGAGTTGAGCATTCGACTGAATCATTGCGCGACAGATAAAAGTAATTGTGAGAGCCGCTCTGTTTGGAAAATAGCTGCCGCCTCTCGTCGCCTTCTCTCGTGCGCGCTCACCGCTCGCGGTTGCATCCGTGACACGAACCGTGAACCGTGATACTCGCGATAATCGTTCTCATGATCCGTCGTGACTTTTCGTTTCTGGCCGGCTCGTCTCGCGACGAGCCGCGAAGTTGACGACCCGCTTTTTGCGAATTTTGCGCGTCTGCCGAGATGCCCGGCTCGCTTCGCGGCGAGCACGGATCGCCGATATGACGGGCGAATTGACTCGGACCGCCGCAAAAATAGAAGTGATTCCGCGAGTAAACACAAGCCACCGTGCGCGCGAGAGTGCGCACCTGGCGGGTGCGAAACCGGCCGCAAATAGAAAATTAGAGGAAGCCGATATGTGATTCGTATTGATTGACTTCCAACGAACGCTCGGGCGGCAGAATGCCGGTTTATTCCCGACGCGATCCTCTTCCTCCTATTCGAGGAAACGCTAATTCGGTCCTCGGCGCGTTAACGCTCAATTTCAGGTTCTGCTTGAAATTTTAACGAGCCGCGCGCTCGGCTGTAATTGCGGAATGAGAAATGCAACGATCGCGATCGGCAATCCGCGCCCGCGTAATACGCGGATCTGACGCGAAAGCGGAGCGACGCCAGTGGGAGGGAATTAAAGGACCATGAGATACAGCGGCACTGTGAATCGGAGCGACGCCTCTCCGCCGAGAGACTTTCCTTCTAAAAGCACATTATTCGGAATGAAAGTTGTGTTACGCCAAAGATAATGCGCGTGGAACACGTGGAAGGATGGAATGTGTAGAAAGAGAGAATACTCATAAAAAATGAGATACATTATTTGGATTGAACGTTGCGTTACGTTACATTAAAATTAGTGTTACGTTGAATATATTACAAGCGGTCTTGCGACACGGTGATACACGGTGCGGAATCGAAACCGACGCGAATGCTCAGGTTAAATTAAATTGCGCGACGCTGGCGTCTCCTCTTGAAAAAAAATAAGATAAAGTTGTCGCGTCTCGACAGCGACAACAATTACTATTTGATCAGTGAAATGTCTTTTTTTCTACTTACGTCAAATGCCGTTGTTTTCTCTCCGCTCGACTTATCTGCAAAAGAGTTGCAAATGCTTAATAAGGCGGAACGTTGGTGTAACGCGCGTGCATGTATCCGATATCAAACAGCATATACGTGTTAGATAACGCGTGTGCGTGCTGTGCATGCGGAACACGAGCTCCCACAATCGAGAAATTCGCCACCTCTTTCGCTTTGGCGACTCTTCTATCCGCGGAATAGGAATTGTTCCCTAAGGGAGCGATACAACGCGCTTGTGCGGATACACGTGCGATAAATACATCCACACACTCATACACGCACACATAATACACCCTTTATACACACACACACACACACCCACACACACACACATACACACAGAGCATCTGACGCAAAGTGCATGTATCCTTGTGTACATGCAGATTAGGTTAAACTGAACAAAAAAGTTCTTATACTATTTTTTAATATAAAAGTCTTTATACTATTTTGCGCACTGAGAGAAAAATGTTTGATAGTTGTAACTATAATCATATAGAGAAATAATTACTATAAATTATGGCTAACCATTTTTAATCAATTGCACTATAATTTTAGCGATAATAACCTTATATGCATGTTACTACTATTATGTTCGTGTTGAAAAACCTTGTGTACATGCAGATTAGGTCAAACTGAACAAAAAAGTTCTTATACTATTTTTTAATATAAAAGTCTTTATACTATTTTGCGCACTGAGAGAAAAATGTTTGATAGTTGTAACTATAATCATATAGAGAAATAATTACTATAAATTATGGCTAACCATTTTTAATCAATTGCACTATAATTTTAGCGATAATAACCTTATATGCATGTTACTACTATTATCTTCGTGTTGAAACAACCAAAAAATATAATTGGCACCAAATTGGGCTATATTTTTTGGTTGTTCCAACACGAAGATAATAGTAGTAATATGCATATAAGGTTATTATCACTAAAATTATGGTGCAATTGACTAAAAATGGTTAACCATAATTTATAGTAATTATTTCTCTATATGATTATAGTTACAAGTACCAAACATTTTTCTCTCAGTGCGAGTAACCGTGTAGATTTGTGAGTTGTGAATTAAAGAAGATTGGCAGACGATTGTGCGCGACAATGCACCGATGTTCTTCAATGAACATCTCGAAAATCGTTATTTGCAAAATGGTAAAGAACATGTTCAGTTTGACCCGATCTGCGAACACACGACGACAGGCGTCGTTATCGCAACTCATTTGACGCGCATCGCGAATTTTCTTTAATTAATAACGCAGGAAACGGCCGTTTGCAAATGTGGCAGAGGCATTTTGTGTTCAGTTCGACCTCCTGATCTACATATACACGAGGTATGGGATATTTTGCGTCACTCTGTAACATAGAGTATCCCGAAATACATGGATACACGAGATAAAGGCCTGACAGGTCACGTGTCGACTGATCGATCGCCAGTCGGGGTTAATTCTCTCTTCCCCAAAAAAAAACGTGTCTCGAAACCTGCACTGAGAGAAAAATATATGATATTTGGAACTATAATGGCACAGTAAAAAGATTATAGTTAGGAATATAATTTTTATAGTAAATGTTACTATAATATTTGTAATATTTACAATATAAGCATAGTATAACTGACCCGTGTAAAATTTTTACCAAGAATTATAATTATTTGAAATAAAAAATATAGTAAGGTAGCAAATATTGAATGGTAAGAGAAATTAACTATTTTATATAGTCGATACAATTGGAATATTTGGCAAATATAGGTACATGTAACTATATTCCCAAAAGGTGCTTTACCATATATATAGAGTAATAAGATGGTGACTATAAATCTGTGTTCATTCTACTATATCTTCATGTTTAGATGAACTATAAATATATGTTTGAGGCCAAAACGAACTATAAAATATAGTGAAATTATAGTTATTCCAACTATTTTTTTCTCTCAGTGTGAATATCAGACACCGGAAAGACGTGACAGAGACTCAATAGCATTTTTGCACGATCGATTCATTGGGCTCACTTCCTTCTTCTAGCGCACGTAAGGTGCATTTGCGTCCCGATGACGATCGACAACGGGATATCGCGACACACACACACATACACACACAGAGAGGCGAGAGACATATAATATTTCGGGTACTTCCGCGCATCTTTGCATTGCATATTCGCTATTAAATGTAACTATTTGACCTTTCAAAGTGTCATATGTCACAACAGCGCTTCTGCCTATCAACATCGGAAGCGATCGCATGGCACGACGTGTGTTGTATCGTCGCGCGGATCATCTGTGTCGAATAGTTTCGTATTACGTCTCGCGAACAGATCATCGGAGACCGTGTTGCAGTATTAATCTTTTTATTAAAACAAAATCGCGTTTGTTTACATACAGTTGATGTGGCAGAAAGATTGCAGGACGCTTGCCCTGATGAACTTTATATATACACAACACACTCTCACACTTTATATATACAACACATTCAGTAACTTCGCGATAGGAAAGAAGATTCATCCTCAGAGAATTTCCAAAACAAGAATCCGTTTTACAGTAGTTACTTGAAACTTGTCTCACACGAGATACTTTGAATTTAGAATCTCGGTAGAATTATATGATATGCATGTGATGTTGTATTTGTAATCGCAATTTTTTGTTCTCTCCACTAAAGAACTCACGTCCAACTCTGAATTCAAATCCATGTGTCTCACTCGGAGAGACACAAGTTTTACGTAACGATTATTAAAGTTATCTAATACAGGCGATATTTCCTCATTGGACACATAAACGTTACGAAATTCACTGGAAGAATAAAAAGAAACTGCTGCGACGTTTCCGCCACTGATTGTATGACACAGCACTTTCATCGACTGAATGAATTTTGAAAGGAAGAAGCCTTGTTTTTTTCTGTTGTTTGTTAAACGCGAAATCAGAATATGATGCTGCACGCCGCGAACCGCAAAACAATTACGGCGGATCAGTCGATCGGCAGAGCGCGAATTCTGAATTACGAGGTACGGCATTATCGATTTTGACATCGCGCGCAGTCGGCGAACCGGACAGGTAAAGGTAATGACACGTGCACGGTATTGAAGATATATATATATATATATATATATATATATATATATATATATATATATATATATATATATATATTGAAATA